TTTGGAGCGGGAGGGGATGGGGGGAAGCTTGCTAACCCTAACTGTAACCCTAACCCCCACACCCCCGTGCCGCCACCGCTTCCCAAGAGCTGGGGAGGGGAGGGGGAAGCTTGCCCCACCATTCCCTCTGCTGGTACCCCATGCTGCCGCCACCTCCAAGAAACAGCCAACTCCCCTCCATCCCTGCAGTCACAGTGGCACTCCGATGCCTCCAGGGAGCAGGTCCATAGGTGGGGGTGAGGTTAGCACCTCAACCCGCCCACTCTCCCTGATCCATCCCATCTGTCATGGCGATGCTCTGCCGCCACCTCCAGGGAGTAGGACCAGGGGAAGGGGGTGAGTGCCTTGCCCCCTGACTCCATCCCTGCCAGCGCTCCACCACCTTCAGGGATCAGGGTCAGGAGCGGGGGGTGAGACCAGAGGTGCTGGCCTTGCTCCCGCCACTCCGCCTCTTCTGTCCTGCAGTCATGGCAGTGCTCCGCCACACCGCGTGTGTTATGGACAGACAGACAGACTGACTAAGCCCTTTATTATATTAGCATTGTCAACATTTTTTCCTAGACATACAGTCAGGCAGTAGGCTAGGAAACTGATGATCACTCTCTCTGCACCTTGATTAGACAAAGATTGGTGCATTAACTCCCACGAACTCCTTCCCCATATCCTTACCAAAGGGAGAGGGTACACAAGCCAGGGAAGGGTGGAATTGATCCACAGTACCAAGGAATGGAATCTGTACAATGACCTTGTGCAATTCTTCCTCTTGTGAAAACAAGAAGTCAGTGAGTGGAAAACTACAGGGCAGTATCAAAAAACTCAAGGGAAAATTAAAGATGATACAAATGTGGAGACTTAGTAAAGAGAGAAAAAAATAAATCAGGGAAGAAAGAGTAATGGAGAAGTACTTCTACCTAAAAAGCCTGTAAGGGACAAATATACTACTATCCACTTCCTGAAGATGTATGTATAAAGTGAAAAATACCACGTTCTCTTTTAAATTGTAAATATGTAAATTTGATCTTAGGCTTTTCAGTGGGTTAATTGAGACAGTCTGATCTCCAAATATATGTCTTTGTCCATGCTGCTTTGTTTTGAATTTAGCTTGTGCCCCGTTATAGCTACAAAGAGCAAAATAAGATCCCTAGTCAGTCCTTTAATGGAACAGAATGCAGATAAGCACACTAGGAAAAACAGAGAAGTCCAGAAATATGTTCCAAGCAGTTTAGCCAGTGTGCGCACGCGCGCACACACGTGTGTGTACTGCCTCCATTCTAAAATTACCAATAATAAATAGTCTTGCTATATTATGGGCCTAGTTTTCATAAATTGAAGTCAGAAAGCTGTGCACACTTTGTGCACTTATATTTGTGTGCAAACTGAACATCTGAATACCCCTTTGGGCATGTAAAAATTATAAGAGTGAGACAAGCCCCCCTCCCCTCCC